CATGCCACTTCAATTCAAAATGCTATAGGAGGTTCTAGCCAGAAAAATTAGCAAGAAACATAAATAAAAGTCATCCAAATTGAAGGGAAGAAGTGAAATTACCTGTGTTTGGAGATGACATGACCTTACATGTAGAAAATCCTAAAGTTTATACACACACACACACACACACACACGCACGCACACACACACACACACACACACACCCCTACCTGTTGAAACTAGTAAACTAATTTAGCAAGATTGCAGAAAACAAAATCAGCATGCAAAAATCAATTGTACTTTTATATATTAACAATGAACAATCAGAAAAGAATGTTAAGGAAACAATTACATTTCTAATTACATTAAAAAGAATAAAATTCCTTGGAATAAACCTAACCTAGGAGGTGAAGAACATATACACTGAAAACTACAAAACATTGCTTAAAGAAATTAAAGAAGACACAAATAAATGGAAAGACATTCTGTGTGTATGAACTGAAAGACTTAATGTTGTTAAGATGTCAGTACTACCCAAAGAGATCTACAGAGTCAATGAATTTTCTACAAAAATCCCAATGACATTTTTTGTGTAATTAGGAAAACCCGTATATCTAAAAATCCATATAAATCTCAAAGGACACCAAATAGCCAAAACAATCTTGAAAAAGAAGAACAAAGTTGGAGGACTCACACTTCCTGATTTCAAAACTTACTACAAAGCTACAGTAATCAAAACACTGTGGTACTGGCACAAAGACAGACATATAAACCAATAGGATAAAATGAAGAGCCCAGAAATAAACCCTCACATATATGTCAAATGATTTGCAATGAATCTTCCAAAACTATTCAGTAGGGGAAAGCACACTCTATTCAACAAATGATGCTGAGGAAACTGGATATCCACATACAAAAGAATGAAGTTGGACCCTTACCCTACACCATTTACAAAAATTAACTCAAAATGGATCATATACCTAAATGTAAGACCTAAAATTATAAAAGTCTTAGAAGAAAACATATATGAAAAGTTTAATGATATTGGATTTGGCCATTATTTATTTGATGTGCCACCAAAAGCATAAAATACAGATACATTTGACTTCATCAAAATTAAAATTTTTTGTGCATGAAAGGACACTATCAACAGAGTAAAATTGCAAATAACATCTGATAAGGAATTAATATTGAGAATAGATATTCTTACAACCTAAAAAAATAAAATAAAATAAAAATTGATAAAGGGCTTGAATAGGCATTTTTTCAAAAAGATACAAAAGTGGCCAATATGCACATGAAAAGATAATCACCATCTTTAGTCATAAGCGAAAAGCAAATCAAAATGAAAAAACTAAAATGAGCTAGCACATCACACCTGTGGGGATGGCTATAATCAAAAATGGAAAATAACAAATGTTGCCTCGCCTTGCAATAGCTGGAGTAGCTGTTAGTCTGTTTAATTTCTATTTTTACACTCAAAACTAGGCTGGAAGAAAGGTGGGATGACATTTGTAAATAGAATTTGAAAGCATCATTGCCTGGCTTTACTTCAGGATATCTTTGGTCCTCTAGATGAAGCAATGAAGCAGGGCATTTATTCCAAACCAGTGGAGTATCTTTTTATTGAGAAGACATAAGAATCTAAGAAAAAGTAACTTTGGAAACCCAGGAGGGATAACCAATATTTATCTGTTTGTTCTGAGAAGCTGCTGATGTGCCTCCTCGAAACACTAGTGTAACCAAGCATAATTGCACACAGATGTGGTTTATTGTATACATACCACTCATTCTTTTATTCAATTAACATGTATAGGGAGCCTCTTATACCAAACCATTCTAGGTGCTCCTTGAAGAAAGTGCATCCAGCTTACGTTTGAATTATAATTTTAATTATCCAGATCATCAGGATAAGCCACGATTACAACTGGACATTTGATGTTACAAAGGACGTAAACCCAATGTTGGTTGCTTAAACAAAAATGGAATTTTATCAATTTACGTTTCAAACTGGCTTCAAGGACAGATGGACCCAGGAATTTGAATAATGTCTTCCTCTTTTTCTGTCGGTTGTTACCCTGACCTCCACTTCCCTTCATTCTTCCTTCATATCTACTCCTCTGATTTGCTTTCTCCATGATGGCTTCATTCTCCAGCAAGCCCAGCCTATATGGAACCACAGCACCAATAGCGTCAAAATTAGATCACTCAGTCTAAAAGGACATGGATTATTTTTCCGAGTACTTCTGCTACCCTCCTGATACCAAAGCTAGACAAAGATAATACAAGAAAAGAAAACTACAGACCAATATCCCTTATGAACATTGATGCAAAAATCCTTAATAAATACTATCAAACATAAGTCAGCAGCATATTTAAAAGATTATAAAACATGACCAAGTGATATACAAGAATGGTTCCAGGTATGAATATCACCAAAGTAATACACAACATTAAGAGAATAAAGGAAAATGGGACTCTTTCTAGAAGCTTCCATGATTGCCTACCCTGCACCATGTGCCTGCCTTTATGATAAGGAGACTTGACCACCAGTCCCACCTGACCCAAGAAGAGCAGAAGACCCAAGAAGAGGAAAAGGATGCTGGAAGATAAACAGGAACAAATGCTTACAGGCATTTTCTGTTGCTAACTCTGTGTTCTCTGGGTCGTAAGGCTTATGTGTTTTATTTATTATCAATCTCATCCAACTAGAGTAGAACTCCATGAGGCAGAAACTTGCAATTATTTTGTTCACTACTGGATATTGAGTACCAGTACCTGCCAGGTACTCAGTACATATTTCTTAACTTAATAAATATTATGAACCGGAGGATATGTTTGCTCCCTCTCTTATGTAATCTCTATGTATTAGCACTGTTGGTCATATCCTCATCTTGATACACTCCTAGAATTCTGAGACATGTTCTTCTGGAACACCTACAACCTTCTCTGACCACTCTTTTTCAGTCTCCCTCATGTCCCATATTGCCTATTGTTATACCCAAAGTGTTAGTTTCCTCAGGTCTCCATTGTGAGCCCCTTGCTCTTATCTATCCATTATGTTATGAATCCACTGGGCACAGAGATAGAAGGTGCAGTTTCAGTGCATATACTACAGTCTATCATATACAACTTTCCAACTTTCTTCTGAGCTACATATCAATTTGAAATAGCAGATGTTTATTTGGTGCCTGGTATGTGCTGAGAATTGGGTTAATAGTTGTGAGCAAGATAGACCTTGCTCCTGTCCCACATAACTGACCCTCAAGAAAAACAAATGAGTGAGATAAACTGTGGGATAAATGCTTTACTACTTTGAGTGATTTATATTCAGATTCACACAATTCCAGACAAATGTTCTATAAGTATTCCTGAAATTAAACATGTCCCCAAAAATTTACCATCTCCTAAAATTATATACCTATGTCTGTTTTTGTTATTTTGGGATAATATTTACTCAGTTACCCAAGCTTTGAGTCATCCTAAATGCTTCTTTCTCATTTTAATCTTCTAACTCACTCAATATGTTGTTTCTTCTCACTTTTAACTCCCTCTCACACCATCTTTACTGACATTCTGCTGCTTATCTCTCAATGCCTTTTTTTAGAATCTTTTCTTCATTTTTCCTTCAATTTATATTTGACCACCTTTCTTTTTATTCCAACACAATCCTGTTTTTATATGTATCTATTGTGGCACTCTTCATACTCAGGCTACAACACAATGATGTACAGTATTGTCTATTCCAATATACTATAAAATCTTGAAACACTGATGGTTACTTTGACAGACTGCTGTTTATCTTCCAGTATCTGTTCTCTCTTTCTCCCATTGTAATAAAACACCCAATTTTTGCCCAGGCACTAGGAAGACTAAACGTCAAAGATTTCTTGGCAGACAGACTGGCCATGGGATGTAATTCATGCAAATGGAATCTGAGCCAAAGTAATTTGTGCACGATACTTCACCCAGGATATGTCTTTAAAGGAACAGGACCTAGATTCTTCTCTCCTCTGTTCATCTACTGAGTGGAAACACATATGATGGTGACCCATCTTAGAACATGAGATGGCATTTAAAAAAAAGGCTAAGCAGAAAATAGAAGCACCAGTTGACCCTATGGTGAAACAGATCCATGTACTCTTTACCTTTGAACTCTTACAACAAAGGAAAATGAATTTTCAGGGCCTTAAGTAATGATTTTCTGGGGCTTTACTATTATTCAAAAATGAACTAAATCCTGGCTGATACATATTCCATGGCAGTTTGAAGTTGGGATTCTATATTCATTTTATATTCCCAGCACTGGATGGCATCAGACTCATCAAATACATAATGAATACATAATATCACTAAATAAGACTGAATGTTATGGGCTGATAAGCCTTTCAAAAAAAATAAAATGAGCTGAAGTTCCTTACTAGGAGACACACATACTAAATAGACTGGGCAGTCTGGAAACATCTTGGTGGTTTACAAGATGACACTACAGAAATAACAGTATCCGTCTAGTCACACTGTATATTACAAAGACTCATGTGATTAGGCCATAGAGAGTCCTTGCAGTTTTTCTATCAACAAACTTATCATATAAAAATAATGTTTATCTGAGGAAGTTGATTTTGACAGTTAAGATTTTGTAGCAGATAAGTATAGCAAGACAGATGACTCTTTAATTCCTACTTCTCTCGTGGACTGACTATAAAATCTCTGACAAATCATTCACTAAATGTAAGTGATCTAAATCAGCCTTGGATGAGTCTCTGTATGATCCATCCTGGGGTAAAATTTCTTTGGAACTAGAAAAAAAGTTATCTGCTTCCAAAATACAGTGATGGGATAGGTATATGAAAGATATTTGCACTCCAAAAGGGAAAAATTAGAAAAAATAAAGGGAAGCCCCAGAAAGGTAAAGCAACATGTTACCAACAGGAACCTGATATGCATGTGCCTTGAATAATCATAATTTAAAATGAGTTGGATGTAGTATTCTACTGCAAGGTTTTTTGGGTTGGCAGGCCACCGTGGCATCTGAAGACATGAGGGCCCCCATATGTCTGGTGGAAAACAAGAACATGCAGCTGTCAGTGAATCAGCAAGCTTTGCAGATTCTCGAGAAGATTTCTCAGCCTGTGGTGGTGGTGGCCATTGTAGGGCTGTACCGTACAGGAAAATCCTACTTGATGAACCGCCTGATGAGACAGAACCGAGGTGAGTGTTGTCCTGAGGCAGGGGCCGTGTGCTTGATCCTGCTGTAGCTCATCTTCTTTCTCCTCCAGGGTCACGTGAGAATCCAGCTTCTCTCAGACGAAACTTCTTTTTTTTTTTTTTTTTTTGTCTTTTTTGTCTTTTTCCATGTCCGGCAACGGATCGCAACCCTCAGTGTTGCCCCCGGACCGGACCAGGACCGGCAACGGGATCGCAACCCTCGGTGTTGCCCCCGCGCCTCGCTCAGCCAGTGAGCGGGAACCGGTCTGTATGTGGGATCTGAACCCTCGGTGGGAGCGCCTCCGCGCTTCCCAAGCGGCGCACTAGCGCATGCGCCACCGGGCCGGCCCCAAAATTTCTAATTCTTAACACCAACTTATCTACCTTACTGTAATCTGCTCCTTATTCTTGTTTTACTCCTGTTAAGGAAAATCTCTCCTATTGATGCTGAGAATCCCACCCTCTTTTACTTTTATTTGTCATCTTAAAAATCCCCCCAAGGGGCTGGCCCGGTGGCGCACTGGAGAGTGCACCACTTGGGAGCGTGGCGGCGCTCCCACGGAGGGTTCGAATCCCATGTGGAGACCGGTTCCTGCTCACTGGCTGAGCGCGGTGCAGGCGCAACACCGAGGGTTGCGATCCCATTGCCGGTCCCTGGTACGGGCGTGACACCGAGGGTTGCGATCCCGTTACCGGTCAGTAAAAAAGACAAAAAGGAAAAAAAAAATCCCCCCAACTCCACATTCCACTGTGGCTACCACCCAATGTTTTATTATCAATTTGTAAAACAAAATTATAGTGTTTTGATTTCCTTTTTCCACTTCTTGCCTCTTTATGTTTACTTTCAATCCACTCCTCTTGGAATTTGAACCTCACCATTTTTTTCAAACTATTTTTGGCATACAAAATAGGACCGTCTTGATGTAATGAAGAAAGCACAATTTTGTTTCCTGGGTACTTCCAATCCTACCAGTCTGACTTGTAGTCCCCAGGCAGCCTGGTTTACCTGCTGTCAATGTATGTTGCTGTTTCCTCTTCCCTTCAGGCTTCCCTCTAGGCTCCACGGTGCGGTCGGAAACCAAGGGCATCTGGATGTGGTGTGCACCTCACCCCTGCAAGCCCAGCCACACCCTGGTCCTTCTGGACACTGAGGGCCTGGGCGATGTAGAAAAGGTAAGGCAGAGAGTCACACAGAGATCCCTTTTACTCTTGATTCCTCTTTATTTCTTAACAGTTATTTGTAAGTTAACTTATGGGATCTATTCTTGACATCTAGAAATTCAACTATAGAGAATGAGGTGAGCATTGATCTTTTTGAACCTCACTTCTAGGTAAAATCACACATTGTGGTACATTAGGTAAAAATCTTTATTTCCTGGCACTGTGGAGAATGATTTGATTCAATTTAATAAGTAATTTTGAGCAACTTAGTTCCAGGCCTCTGGATTTGAAACTATAGATTATCAGTGAACAAAGCAAAGGCCTTGCCTTCAAAGAGCCTTCAGTCCCATTCAGAAGACCACGTGTATACAGTCAAACTTAACTACAGTGTTGTTGGTGTTTTGATATTTAAAACAAGGTGGGCTCCCTTGAAAGCAGACCGAATAGAGATTAACATGCAGGGCAGTTGTTAGGGTGAGCTCTTGGGCAGAACACCTGAGGAATGGAGGGGAAAGAAGGAAAAAAAGACAGAAGCCTACAATTGCAGGCCTCTGTCAATTTCATAGTGGAGCTCTGTGATGAGAGTGACCCTTTCAAGCAATCCCAAATTGGAACAATGACCAATAATCGGAAGGCAGTCCTGGAAGCCTTTCTCATTGAAAGAACTGAGACCTGAGGGCTGTGTTCCATCACCTCTCACAACAGTGAGGGAATAAATCCTTCAGTCGGAAAGTGGATCCAAACAGCACATCACTGTTCCCACCACGTACAGGAATGTATAGGGTGCCTTGGCAGGAAAGAGAAGAAGCATCAACCCCTTCCAACAGAACGAGGAAGGGCTTCTTCTGGCCCACCTTCTGAGCTACCAGGTGAAGGGCGCATTCCAGTTAGGGAGTTAGATTTACATTTCTCATGGTGAAGCTCGTCTAAACTACTCACAAAGCATTCTGGAAGGCTTTGAAACACCTCTGTGGTTGGTTCTATGAAACTACGCATTATTCCTACAACAGACATTTTAAGATGGATTTTTTATATTTTGGCTTTATAATAATAAGTTGAATAAATAATATTCCTGTCTTTTTTTGTTGCCTTAATTTGAGATTTATTTGGGAATAGTATGGACTTTTTATTTCTACCTAAAAAGTAGTTAGATATTCAGTTTCCCTTGTAAACTATATATCAAATAAAGTTATAGTGTCAATATTTAAGAAGTTCATTGTTTATCACAGGTTCCACTAATTACTATTCTAATTGGTTTCTTATAAAAACTAGAATATGAGGGGAAAAAGTAATGAATAAAGTATTTTCTCCCCTAAACTCCCATATATAATCTTCTAGGCATAGATTCTAGTTTTGCTTTTACTCAAAGGCTCAGTGCTAAATTTTCACATGTTTTACACAAGAAATAATTTCTGGATTATGCTATAATTTACACATACAAATTAGCCTGGCCTTTAAAGCTATCATTCACCACAAGAGCCACTATCTAGCCTTCTAACCTCTGCTCCAGCAAACTAAATAACTCCATGCTTATTGCAAAGGACTCCTGAAGTATAACATCTCTGATTGTGCTTCTGCTGGTCTTGCTACTTGCATGATACTGTCAGTCCTTCAAGTCCACATTGTACCAATTCTTTAACACCAACTCAAGGTTACCAGGAATTCTTCACATCATATACTTGTTCTCCAACTGTGATAGCTTATGTTCTTCTTTGACAGACTTATTTTTAATTTAATGTATGGCTATAGGTTGCACTACTTATATCCATTACTAAGATGTAAGCTCTTCACAGATAGTGACAAATTTGTTGAATTCATTTTAAAAATTTGTCATCATTTTGAAATAGTCACCTTGAGAGTAACAAGAACCATGCGAACACTTAGTAGGTGCCTCTAAATATTTGTTGAATTTAATTGAATATAATTTGAGTGTTCAGTTGATTTGAGTGTCAAGCATAGTATATTTTATATAGCCCATGATCAACAAACACTTCAACAAGTTCATGGAAAAAAATGAATAAAAGATAATGTGAATCTTTCCATGAATTTTTGAAGACCCCTCGAATGTGTTGAGTGAATAAGTGCTAACAACTAATGTAGAGCATCTAATTGTACATCAGATACTGCATTAGTTTTTCTATATATGTTATCTTATTTCATCTTATTGGGCAAAAAGGAGACACTAAGAAAAAAGTATGATTAGCATCCTTTTATAGATGAGGAAATGAGATTGCAAGAAATGTCAATATAATAGTTGAAGTAAAATGAAAGACTAAGAGAATGAATATCTTAAAAAATTCCTAAAGAATAAACTCCCAAGCCTTTTCCTCTAATGTGTTTCTAGAGTGATCCTAAGAATGACTTGTGGATCTCTGTCCTGATCATGCTGCTGAGCAGCACCTTCATCTACAACAGTATGGGCACCATCAAAAAAATTCCTAAAGAATAAACTCCCAAGCCTTTTCCTCTAATGTGTTTCTAGAGTGATCCTGAGAATGACTTGTGGATCTCTGTCCTGATCATGCTGCTGAGCAGCACCTTCATCTACAACAGTATGGGCACCATCGACAATCATGCCTTGGAGCAGCTACTGTATCCTTTCAAGGACCAAACTACCATGTTTCATTGAGGAATTTATGGGAATGAAGATCCTATCAGATTTAACTTCCCTGAGGCTGAGTTGCCATTGGTGGTACAGATGGGGCAGAGAGAAAAAAAGTGTTTCAATGTTTTTAAAGGAAAATGTGGGAATTGTTGGTAGGGGTTTCATATCACCTTTCTTTGTTGCAGTCATCTACCAACCTCTCAGTAAAGACACTCTTCATTTGTTAAAGATTTCAGCTCCTAGTGTTTTTTAGAGACTAAAAACCAATATACTCATGTAACACTCTGGTCTCTCAGTTCCATCACCTCCTCATGTCTTCATTATCTTTCACCCTCCTGCATTACCTACTCTAGATCATTATCAGCAACTTCACCATTTCCGTGAACATAGTTTCCAATATTGCAGTGAATTAGCTTTCATCAAGTCAACTTCACATTCCTTTATCTAATGGGCAGTTCTCATCCTATTTGACCTCTTACAGCCTTTCATAAAGTTGATTTCTTCCTCCTTTCTGTAACAGTTGTTACTTTTGGTGTCTAGATTTCATAGTTTTCTAATTATCCACCTTCCTCATTGGTGCACCTTTTCAGTTTACTTTGCCACATCTTCATTCTCTTCTTGGTCTTTAAATAGCCCTTTAGTTATTGTGCCTCTTCTCTTTTTTTCTCTCCCGTCATTCTCTAGGCGATCTCATCCATCCTCAAGGCTCTCAGTAGCACCTATATGTCAATCACTATTAAATTTGTATCTCCAATCACAACCAAATTCAGACTTTCATATCTAACTGCAGATGCAACATCTCCATTTAGATGTGTAAGAGACATCCTGAATTCAAAATATACAAAATAAAATTCTTTATTTTTCTGTCCAAAACTATTCCTTCTCCAGTTTTTCCTGTCATGGTAGATTCCCACATTGTTCACAAAGATGCTCAGATCAAAAATCTTGGAATTTTCCTGGATTATTTCTTCTGTCATATCCTAGAAACTATTAGTAAGCAAATCCTTTCAGTTCCTAACAGATATTTTCCCAGACTGACCAATTCTCATCACCTTCTCCACAATAACTCTAGTCTAAGTTTCCATCCTCTCTCATCTTGATTACCTGCTCCACTAGCTAACTGTCTCTTTGTTTGAACCCTTGACCCTCACAGATGTGATACCAGCCAGTATGATCCTTTTTAAAAATATATGTTCTCTCTTCACACAAAACCCACCAAAGTTTTCCCATTAAATTTAGATTAAATTTTAAACTTCTCACTTTGGTTTGTGGAGCTTATATGTCCCAACCCCTATTTCTTTTGGGACTTCCACCCTACCACACTGGACTACTTGATATATGTTGGACACTTAGTAATTTTCCATCTAATGGTTTACAGGTGCTTTGGCCTCTGTCTGAAATGTTCCTCCAATGATTTGTACATGGACAGCTGCCTTAATTCAGTCAAATCACATCTAATACAACCTCGAGAGAATTTACCTGGACAATTACACAAACCACCCCACATGCAGACATACACAGCTATTTTCTAACATTTTGCCTAGTTAATTTTTCTCCAAGACAATTGTTACCAATATCTGAGATTTTATTTTATTTTTGTTTACTTATTTGTTGTCTGCCTCTATCACTAGAATGTAAATCTACGATGGTAACATTGTCTCTTTCTTTGCAATATGCTCAGTCTTTGGGACAGTGTGTGTTTCATAGTAGATGCTCAATAAATGGTTGTAAATAAATACATTCTGTAAGTGAATGTCTGTGAATGAATAAATGAGCTAATAAAAAGAAAAAATATTTTAGGTAAGCACTGGGAAAAAAATACAGCATTAAAAGTAGCATTTCTCCAGTTTTCTTAATTTAGCATCTCAGCTATTTGACAGAGATGACAGATAGAATAAGAGCAAATTCCTCACCTGATAATAGTGAGGTAGAAGACTCAGCTGACTTCGTGAGCTTCTTTCCAGCATTTGTGTGGACTCTGAGAGATTTTCCCCTGGAACTGGAAGCAAATGGACAACCTATCAGTGCTGATGAGTACCTAGAGCTTTCGCTGAAGCTAAAACAAGGTTACTGGGCCTGATCATTGGTTGGATTACACATAGAAAGACAACAATATTAGAATAACTTTTCCTGTGTAGGTGCTGAATATTATAATTTTGTCACTGTGCTAACCTACCTGTTATGTTAGAGGAAATGAAAACATTGCTTCAATAAATAATTTGGACCCAATTTTAAATTGCATTACCTACCTCTTCTTGCAGAAAGACCTTTCTTTCTCTACCCCTTTAATTTTTATTGCTCGTTCATCAATAGTCAATTTTCTCCTTACATAAGCTTTGTTAAAATTATGAAATTGAGGGGTCATATATTTGAGGTAATTCATTTGATGCTGTACAATCTCTAATCTCATTCCGGCAGGTACAGATCAAAAAAGTAAAGACTTTAATGAGCTTCGGTTATGCATCCGAAAGTTCTTTCCAAAGAGGAAGTGCTTCATCTTCGACCGGCCCGCTCCAAGGAAGTACCTTGTCCACCTGGAGCAGCTAAAGGAGGAAGATCTGAACCCTGAATTCATCGAACAAACTAAAGAATTCTATTCCTACATCCTCAGCCACTCCAATGCCAAGACCCTCCCAGGTGGCATCACAGTCAATGGGCCTCGTGAGTCACACTCTCCCCTCTTCTTACCTGGATTTTCCTTCTGCCCATTGTGGAGGACAAAAAATGAAGGCATAAGGGTCACTTCTGACAAATACATAGTCCAGTAATGCCAAGGAAAACACAACACAAACATCACATTATGAACTTTAAATGAGAACTAAAACTATTTCTAGTATCATTATATTTAGAACAGCAAGGAGGGAAAAAAAAACTAGAATTCAATTGTGCTATAAAAACCTTCTCCACAAACTTTTCAGCTCTCCATTTATGAAATAGCCTTTCAGGAGATGTGCACAGAGCAACAAAGTCAGAAAAAAAGCAAATACCATATGTAAGTGAGACTTTGCCACTAATTGTAGCAAAATTCTCTTGTTTGTTAATTCAAGAATATTTAGAGTGCCTGCAGTGTACCAGCCACCGGGTATAATGATGGATAAAGTAACTGTGATTTCTATTCCCATTCCAGCATAATGGAAGCAAAAGATATTTTTTAAAAGTAAAAATATACATAATGATAAATAGTGATTGACATAATAAATGAAAATAATAGGTCGCCATGAGAGAGTAAGGGATCTATTCAGGTGGGATGTAATTTAGATTGGGAAATAGAGAGTATTTTCTGTGAAAGCGACATGTAAGATGAGAACTTAAAAATGGGTAGGAGTTAGCCAGAAGAACAGGGAGGACCAGCTTTACAGACAGAGGTAATGTGATGTGAGGCAAAAAAGAACATTGCAACTTGAAGACAATAGAAGGAGGTGTTTGGAACAAGAATAGAAGGAGCAGGAGTGGGTCAGGATTGGAGAAGTGTGCAGGGGTCAGGTCTTGAAAGGCCTGGCAGGTGATTTGGAGGAGATTAGAGTTTGTTCTAAGCTCTGTGGGAGGGTCTTGAAGGATTTTTGGAAGTGAGAGAAACTTATCTAATTTATATCTATAACTATCTTTCTGAGTATTTTGTAGATAATGTGTTGGAATGCTGTAAGGGAGAGAATGACAAGAATGATGCTATTTGCAATGGTTTAGCAGTAAATGCAGATTCTGTTAGGCTAAGATTATGGCAGCAGAGATGGTCAAAATGGACAAGATCCAAGCATACTTTGCATGGCAAATCCAAAAAGCTTGATGATGGAGGGAATATGCAGGTACAAAGGGATAAAAACAAGGAAGTGTGAAGCCTGTTTCCAGAGTTTTGAGCTTAGCAAATGCTCGAATGGATGTTATTTACTGAGATGGTAATATCAGCAGAAGGAATAGTGTTTCAGAGTATATGAAGTTGTCTACATTTTGGCTTTTTAATATTGAGCTTATTAAGGGTATCATACAGGCATTTAAATATACAAATCCAAAGCTTAAAAATAATGGCAAAGCAAAAAATAAAATTCATAAGCTCTCTATAGAGAAGGTACTTCAAACCATACAAAGAGGGCTGGCCCAGTGGCGCACTCGGTAGAGTGCGGCGCTTGGGAGCATGGCGGTGCTCCTGCCGAAGGTTCAGATCCCATATAGAGACTGGTCCGCTCACTGGCTGAGCGCGGTGCGGGCGCGACACCGAGGGTTGCAATTCCGTTGCCGGTCACGAAAAAAAGACAAAAAGGAAAAAAAACATACAAAGAGAAGAGAAAGTCCAGTATTGAGTCACAAAGAACACTTACTTGTGAGTTTTCCTGGGTGTGAGACTTTCAGTGCTACAACCAGCGAAGCCCTGGGAAAACCTAGATGACTCATTCTCCCTACATGTAGTTCTAATGAGAAGATACCCATCAGGAAGACCCATTCATCTAAGCCAGACACAGAATTAGTGGCCTGCACCTCTGGGGAAAAAAAAAGGCTAAATTTTCTCTTTGGCCTTTTTCATAAATTAGGAGTGAAGAGAGAGAACAAGGGGGAGAAGGAAATAAAGGGAGAAGAGGGAGAGAGATATATAAGAAGAGTAAGAAAAGACCTAGACCTAATATCTCAGCCCCTGCAATGTCTTTATCCTGATCCATTCATTCTAACACATTCATTTTGGGTGAAGGAAAGAAGAGGAAAGAGAAAGTTTAATCTCCTCTGGATCTAGAAGTTAACAAATTATTCAATCACTCTTCTTCCTCAGAAAATCCTTAAAACTATTCTTTGTGGCACTCACTTGAAAAGCCTGCAGAATATTCTGTCCATCAACTGATGGCCACTGTTTTTTATAAAAATTTCCTTTTGTAGGTCTGAAGTGCCTGGTGCTGACCTATGTCAATGCCATCAGCAGTGGGGAGCTGCCCCGCATGGAGAACGCAGTCCTGGCCTTGGTGCAGATAGAGAACTCGGCTGCAGTGCAAAAGGCCATTGCCCACTATGACCAGCAGATGAGCCAGAAGGTACAGCTGCCCACACACACCTTCCACGAGCTGCTGGACCTGCACAGGGCCAGTGAGAGAGAGGCCATTGAAGTCTTCATGAAGAACTCTTTGAAGGATGTTGACCAGAAGTTCCAGAAAAAATTGAAGGTATATTTCATGCTCTAGGTCATGAGAGGCAGAAAAGTATGGGCTTTGGGGGGAAAGAATAATTCTTCCTCGACTCCAAAACAGTTGAAGTCCACTATGTGTTTATGTTTGTAATCATTGTTAAAAGATTAGAATATGCCTAGACTTAGACCTACAAAAAATGGCACCATACCTAGCCAAGTTTTTCACAAAAAAATCTAGTTTTATTAATTTCTCCCTCTGGATACCATATTTTAAGCACATAAGTAAATTCTGCAACTTCATTTATAAACAATTATTTTTTCTTTTAAAATTAAAAAATATACACATTGCTTTCATGTTCCCTGCTAATAATCTGTGGGGATTAAATTATCTTTAAATAACCCTAATAATTTGTTGTTTTTATGTAAGCCAATGATAAAACATTCAGAAAACAAGAAAGAGAAAGCAATCATATGTGCACACACACGTTCTTCAAAGCTATACTATTTATATGCTCCGGCTCCATCATCCACAATTCGAACAATGAACAAGACATTTGAAAAATAGGAGACCTGTACAAAACCATACCCTTTACATCAACCTCTTTAACTCAAATTTTATTTGAGAATGTTTTTAGAGTCTGCCTTATTTTAAGTTAAGGAGGGACTGTTGCATGAGAAATGGCCACTTGAAAAGCGACAGTCCTTCCCCTAGCTAGCAAGGCAGGATTTTACAAATGATACATTGATGCTTTCAGAGGTTCAGTTGAAATCAGTCAATGTCAGCAGACAGTTGGCATGTTTCCAACCTAAGGAAGAAAAAAAGCTTAATAGTTAAGTGTCTCGAGTGATTTAATGTAGATAAATGTGCTGTTCTATTAAACTTTCTAAATACTGAAAATACCTATGGTACAATCTTCATTACTTTTATTAGCCCTATATTGAAAAAATATGCAAAAATATTCTCATGTTAAAGAATATACTTGGGGCCGGCCCGGTGGCACACTGCTGTAGTGCGCCACTTGGGAAGTGTGGCGGCGCTCCCGCCGAGGGTTCGGATCCCACATACAGACCGGTTCCCGCTCACTGGCTGAGC